AATTTCATTCTGGCGATTTTAATCTTGAAAATGAGCCACTTAGGCAACCTGAGATCAAGGTGGATAATAATGAGCTGAAAAGTGTAGTGGAAACGGATACATCTTAAAGTACGTGTGAATCAGCAGCAAGGTTTAACGTTATTATCCCAACAATATTGTACCATTTGAAATAAATCGGCAAAGTAAAGAAGCTGGATAGACGGGTTTCGCATGAATTAAACGAGCGTCAGAAGAGAAGTCGTCTCGTAACTTGACTTTCTTTACTATTATGATATAAAAAGGCGAGCCATTTTACATCTGTATATTGTTACATGTGATGAAAAATGGATTCTTTTCGACAATCGCAACAATGTTCGACACAATGATTGGGTATAGATGAAGTGCCGAAACACAGTTCGAAATCGAATATTCACCAAAAAAGCTAATGGTGTCTGTTAGTGATCCAACACTGGTATTATCCACTACAGCTTCATGAAACCTGATCAATCGATTACAACGGATGTCTACTGTAACCAATTGGACGAAATGATGAGGGTGCTTGCGATTAAGCAGCCGAGATTGATCAATAGAGACAGGCCAATCCTCTTGCAAGACAACGCTCAACCACATGTCGCACAAACAACGCTGCTCAAACTATAGGAGCTGGACTTGGAAACTCTGTCACCTACCGCACTCGCCAGACCTTGCACCAATTAACTACCACTTCTTTCAAACACTGGACCGCTTCTTGCAAGGAAAAATATCCAATTCTCAACAAGCTGTTGGAAAGGAAAACGCCTTTCGCGATTTCATCATCACCCGCTCTTCAGGCTTCTGCGCTGTTGGCGTAAACAAGCTACCGTGAAGATGGCAGAACTGGTTAATAGTTTAGGCGCATACTTTGATTAATTGTACTATTTCTAATTTGTGATATAATAAATCAAATTTTTGATTCAAAATCAGACATTTCATACTTAATGACCTAACACAAAAACACAACTTCTTTAATCGGCTGTCAAATCGAAAGCGCACGTAGAATACATCGAGACAAAAAATGTTTATTAGTCGGACAAATGTAACGCTGTAATTTTTTCATCGAACTTCGTACACACGTATGACACACGTGAAATCTCTGCGAATGAAAGCAGTCCCCAGAACCAAAGTGGCTCCACGCAGCTTGCCTATACAGTTTCGCGCGCACCGTGGTGTATAATTATTAATTAGTACGTTGCAATAACTTGCAGAAAACGATTGCGCGCGGTGCGACAAGAGACACATTTCCCGACACGTGCCCATTGTATGACAATCGCCCGGTCAACCGCTTAATAATGCATGTGGCCGTAATTACTATCCCACGATAAACGTAGGGGAGTATAAATTACAAAACTCACTCTCTCACTCTCTCACTCTCTCACTCTCTCACTCTCTCACTCTCTCACTCTCTCACTCTCTCTCTCTCTCTCTCTCTCTCTCTCTCTCTCTCTCTCTCTCTCTCTCTCTCTCTCTCTCTCTCTCTCTCTCTCTCTCTCTCTCTCTCTCTCTCTTTCTCTCTCTCTCTCTCTCCTACTGCGTGGTCGCGCAGTGCATACGACTCTCATTATACCCGATGGCGTTAACGAAGCGAGATGGCAATAATTGCATCCTGTGATGCACGGCAAAAATTCATCCGCAAGCCGCCGTATTATCCGCCTGTTGGTTCAGCCGCGGCCGGCTCGTGTTATTTCAACGGGCAAACTAGCAATTTCGCACTTCTAGGTGTTATTAACACGCTCCGTGCCGAATCGATTTGATTTAGTTCCAGAATCAAAATATCAAACGGCCTGGACGGGAATGTCACCCCGTGAAATCTCACCGGGAGCCCACGCAGAATGGAACGTGTTTTCGTTTCGTATATAAATGAAGTAGATTCTTTTTTCTACATGCGCAATCGGCAAAAATTACAACTAAATGCCAAACAAGAGTCAGCGCCGTTGCACGAGTCTCCCAAGTTTAATTAGTGACAGGTACAATCAACTCATACATATAATCAGCGCGAACGTTACAATATTATAAAATTAAAATTCTTAATTCATATTCTAAAATCAACCGAAAACATGTTAAAGTTAAGACTTCAACCTTTAATTTAAAAAAAAAAATTACCGTCTTACAACCATTTGTCACTGAGTAATCATTGTTCAAAGTTGAGCAATTTTCAGCGCAATTTTCAGCGCAAATTTTTTGATGCCATAATTTTTTTTAATAGTGTAGATGCATTTCTGGCTCCAGTTCTACAATAAGTAGGCATAAATGAAATAAGACCATCATAACAAATAAATTTCCAATCAGTTTTGTTATGGATATTTCATAGCTATAAAAATATTCATCATAACCAATTGTATGAAATATAATTAAAAGAAAGAATATATTATTCAATTTCTTGCAATAGATTATAAACTATATTTGATCAAATATAAGTAAATTATCTTCGTTATATGTTACAGCAACACACCTACTTTTTTTAAAAAGCGTTCTAATTATTCTGACCCATGAGCATATAAGCCCATGAGGTTATCTTTTCGTTCATGTCTGAAGGTAGAGCAAAAGCAGACTAAACAAAAGAAGAGGACATTCGAATCAACGTATTCCTCTTCATATAAGGGGAAAATTAGTTGAGATAAGAGGAAATCCTCTTGAAATAAGAGGAAAACAGAATAATATCTAGTAAATTTTAGATGAATAGTTCACTTTAATCTCTTTATTGAAAGAGGAATCCTTTTCCTGTAAGAAGCCTCGCTTAGAATATGAAACTATGGGAAAAATCACTTTACAAATAGAAAGATGGTACATCCCAAAATTACTTTTTTTGGGGAGTACCATCTTCTTTTCTTTCATTTTTTACGATAAACTGTTTACAATTGAAAGTAAATATAATCTCACATTTTTCTAATGTATTAATATTTGCTTTACATGTTTCTCATGATTTTTACGATTGTCCTTATTTTTAAACAAATAAAGTCGAAAGTCGTGATTTAAAAAAATTTAATTCCTCGGAAAATATTTAAAATTAGAGGCTGATAATTTTATCGAATATTCCTCACGTGTCAAAATATAATATACAATTTTTCCAGAATTTTTCACACGCTGGATTTTTTTATAAACAAATTACTTAAACAAAATTTTTAAATTTAATATGAAACTCGATCCGAAGTTAACGATCCGAAGAATTTTTATATCATATATCTGATTTATATTTATTAAGTCTTACACTAGTGTTCTGCTTTGTGGCGGTCATATTGAATCTGCCATTTTGAATTTTCGAAATCTAACATCAGATTTGTAATCAGCAACCCAGAAAACATGGAAACTTAAGATTTCACAGGAATCCGTCAGACAGAAAAAAAATGTGCTATACAAAATTTAAACATCGCGGATGTGACGATAACTTTGCCCTCGAAATTAATAACCATTATCTTAAAAAAAAAATCAAAAATCAAAAGAAACATGAACAAAAGTTAGAGCCAAAAATAAAGAAACCAATTCCGTCCTTTTTCTGGAGATGGCATTGTAACTTTACTAGAAACTCGTGTCCGTGATATCGGCTAACAGAATGATAAATCAGCACTTCGGCCGGAGAGTGACTCAAAGGTAGGCTGGAGGAAACGCTCATTCGCGAATTCGGGAGGTCCGATTTCGCGCGAATAACGCTCAGGCGTGTTTTCTAATTGGCACCGTCGACGAGAGAGGTCAGAGGTGCGCCGGGGTGCCCACGTATCGTGCACATCAGCGTTATGCGCTATTGTTTTACGCCACGGTACGTATTTCCTCCGCGGGTAACATTAAAGAGAGAGAGAGAGGCGAGAGAGAGAGAGAGAGAGAGAGAAAGAAAAATGCCCTCGGGGCGTGCGCGCCGCGTCACGTTCCTCAGATTCGCTGCGTCACGAGCGACGAAAATCGTGACAAAGGCGCCTCTCTAGTCGCGGCTGGAAGCGATGCGCGGCGTAACATGCAAATATTTCACCCGTTTCCCTGAATATCTAAGCGCGCCGGCTTTTCGCGTCGTCGCAGCAATTTAGGTGTCTCGCCCGGTCGACGTCGTCGCAACACGCAACTTTAAACCAGCTGAAGCGGACGGGTTGTGATAAGCGCGCGCCGATCGCGACATCGTAAAGCGCGCTGCAACGGCCGGCTATCGAGACCGATTTGGCGTTATCGCGCTGGCTTTTAATTACGTTCGAGCCTTTCATTCCCGCCGGGATGTGGTCGCGATACGGACGACCGGAAGTTCGGGGCCGGCAGAAATCTCCGCGAGCGAAGACCGTTTCGCCGTTTCGGCAGACTTCGCGCGCGCGCGCGCGCGATCTCTCTCGGTCTTTCTGTCTCGCTCTCTCTCTCTCTCTCTCTCTCTCTCTCTCTCTCTCTCTCTCTCTCTCTCTCTCGTTCGCTCTAGTTTCGAGGGCTGCGGGAAATATTGATACATTAAGTATCTTGATGGTTTACTCAGCCTTATCTGGCGGTGCGCGCTCCCATCGCGCCAATTTTTTCCTTATCGATAATACCTGTTTGAGCAAGCGCTATGCAAACGAACGCGCTGAGGTGATGGGTGGAAGCGATTGCCAAATTGAAAGATAACGACGTTGCAGAAGAGGAGCCACTCCGTGGGGGAATTAACGGAGGAATGTCACGGCCGGGCCATGATTTTCAGAACGCAGCGAATCCCCGAGCACGAGTCGCGCTGAAGAATCGATGAAAGATAAAAGCGACTTCCGCTCGCGACAGTTGCGTGGAAGTTCTCGAAATCACGGTTAACGATTTCATTGGCGAACTCGTTTCCCACCTAGTCGATCATTCCGTTTTCGTCTCAGGTTGGTAGCACTTTCTCGTATTATCGTCAGCACGTCGCGCACGAATCGGCGAGCGACGTAAAGTCGAAAGAAGAGAGATACGCTCGACCACTTGTCGCGCGACGGAAGCCGCAAGCGGAAGCCGGCAGGTTCCGGGGTAACGATTCGACCGTCTTCATGGCGGTCCCATCCGGTTCTCACCTTTCTTCAGCTGTTTCTGCTTGACCTCGTCGGCGCCGTCCTTCTTGACCCCGTTGCTTTCACTCGCTACGAAACTCTCGCTCGTCTTCGACTTCATTACGCCCGCTGCCTGTTGCGTAACTCCAGGGCCACAAGAGACGGCACGCACACTCGCACCTTCCCTTTCCTTTTATCCTCGCGCCGCGACGTCGGCGAGCCGATAAGATAGCGAGTTCACTCGAGCCGTGAACAAGACGATCCTCTTGCGCGATTCGCGCCGGTCAAAATCCGATCCGAAGTGGCGTACGCGGTCCGAGTGTCGTCCGTCGGATGAATTCCCGACCTGTCCGATCTGTCGTGAAAATATGCGACGTTGAAAGTGGGATCAGCGCCAACGAGACCGTCGCGAACCGAGACTTCGAGGGTGTCGCGCTTCCGAAACCGCGGAGAACGTCGCTGATTTATTTTTTCGTTTCTACCAATTGTAGCTGTTGGTTTTTTTTGGAACGCCGACTGCTTGTTCCATCGGGTTTGACCAATCGCACTTGTCGATTCTGATTAACGACAGGTGCGATTGGCCAATTCCGTTGGAATGACCGGCTCTTTGACCCTTTAACGCCTACTGGTAACTATAGTTACCAGAAACGCATTCAAGAATCCATAACTTGGTCAAAAAAGGAGATATTTTCGTTTTCTTTGCACCACTGTAAAGGTGAATTTTTCTTCTAAAAAATGGTACGAAAACCTGGTGACCTATAGTTGTTTATGCGGCGAAAAATGAAGGGACGATTAACTATCTAAATGGTGATCTATAAGAGATATTCTTCTGAAATAGTAAGCTTGACGCTCTGAATGATAAACTTCACTCACAAATATAGTAAAGTCTCAGCTCAAAAATGTCAAGCTGACTATTATAGTTATGTCATATAAATTATCCTTCATTTTTCTCTGTATAGGTTGCTCATTTTGTATATGCTTTTAGAATCCAAGTCATATTTACCGATAAATAAAAAACGAACGATAAAAAAACCAAACTAACGAAACCAACAAACGAAAAGCGGGAACTTCATATACTCATTTGTTATATTCCATTCCAGGCAAATAAAGATCAAGTTCTGAATATGAGTTCTATGTTTCGAGGAATTTTTCCAACCAGGTATGATATAAAATTATTAAAACTAAAAAAAAAAAATTTATCCGATCAGGCGTATTTTTCGCTTCTGCTTGGAAAGGTAGTTTTTCGTAGATATAAAATTCTGATATTTTTTTTGGTTATCACTACTTATAGTCTCAGTTCAAAAAAACTCAAATTTTATTCTTAAAACACTTATAAAAAAGTCGGGCGTTAAAGGGTTGAGTTAACTAAAGTTGGTAGAAACGCATTAGAGTGAATTTCACCAAGTGTTTCTTCGGTTAAAGGCGCAGAGCAGCCAACTGAAATCTCAATTGAGGTTGAGCGTGAAATATCCATGTCTGCTAGAATTTAAGTTGGCACCCTGTTACTTGTAACCGTCGGTTAGCTTAACCAGAGTTGGGGGTTGTTGCAACTTCTTGATAAGTTAACTGATAGTTAAATCATGTTTATCTTTGTTTTTCCTTCAATTTAGACAAAGACAGACATATGATTTAACTATCAGTTAACTTACCAAGGAGTTGGAACAACCTGCCCTTGGTGAAACTCACCCTTGAGGATTAATCGCGGTGACACGTAAGCAAACGCGACCGTCGAAACCCGGAGGAACTTCTCAGTTCTGTTTCGCTCTCGCGACACCCCGTATACAGGGTGTCTAAAAAAAAAAAAAAAAAAAAACACTTTTAGGTAGAGAATAGTTACGAAGTGGAGGAAAAAAGTTGTAATAAATATGAACCGAAAAATTAATAGATACTGTTACATAGATTAATAGATACAACATATATACTGTTGGAGGCGCACGAACAATTATTTATTTTAATGAAAGCAAATGACCTACTCGCTTCTACGGAAAATTTTCGACATGTCCTCTTCTTATTTCTACACGCGTTCCGTATCGTAGAATTGCAAATTCTAAAAAATTCCCGGCTTTATTCTACATATTTAACAAGCATTTCGTATTCTCTGATGTAATTCGTCTGTCATTTATCGGTGAAGGTTATACCGTGTTTTTAAGAAATCCCCGCAAAAAAAAGTCCAGGGGATTTAAATCAAGTCAGCAAGGAGCCCATAAGATCAGTACACCCTGCTGTCCAATCCATCCTTCACCGAAGGACCTGTTTAAATGTTAGATGAATTACATCAGAAAATACAAAATGCCTATCAAATAATTGGCACAAAGCTGAGAATTTTTGAAAAAGTTCGCAATTCTATGGTGGTAAAGCGTGTGTGGAAATAGGACACGTAGAAAATCTGTAAACTTTGTAAGCGCTAAAAACGAGCAGGTCACTTTTGGAATAAATAATTGTTTATAACTGTTTATTAGGATCCACGTTTATTCGGACTTTTCTCCCCGATTTTGTGTGAGACCGTCTTAAAGTTCTAAATTCCCCCCTTTTTTTTTAACACCCTGTATATGCACTGCCGCGAATCGAGCACCGTGTCTGACAACATCCACTGCGAATTAGCGAGATATCTACTTCGCCGAAGGCGATTATGTTGTTTGCCGAGCAAGAGCGCGTATATGTGCGCGGAGAGTGCCGATAATGGCGCGGCTAATTTCTACATGCCGTTCCTCTCTGAATGTCGTGCCTCGTGTACACGCGGAATCTCACGTGATACGACATTTTTACCCGATCAATCGACCCCGTTCGCCGATGCGAGCTGACCTGAGCTGCCGTCACTAGGCGGTCGTCACACTCCGGCTGGTGCGGGGAAACCGACGCGAGAACGTCGCGACGCTACACGCACGATACGGCCACGGCGACTGTCGATCGTCGACTACCAAGCGAGCACTGCCAGCGGAGATTCGTGCGTCGAGTTCCGATTGTCAACCGGTACAGTCGGCGCAGATAATGTCCGCTTTTTCACGGTCGACTCCACCCTGAGTCCTCTAACCAGCGCGACTCCGCGCGCACGCTTCTTTACTTCGGTTTTCCTTCAAACTCGCTGTCCTCCTTTTCTTTGCTAACGCTTCACTCTCTTATCTAACGTTTTCTCAACGGTCGCTCGCAAATGAGATTTGTAACCTCCGTCAGACGCGGAGGTTGAGTGGGAAATAACTTCCTTAGGCAGAAGGATCGTCCACACATGTGGAGTCAGGCTTGGGAAAGTTGCTTTGTAAAAGGATTCTAATTAGTTTTTTGTTTACTGAAAAAAGTAACTAGTTACAGTGGCGCATTGCTGATTTTGAAAAATAACTCGTTGCAGTTGCTCAGAGAGTAACGGGTCGTCACTTTTCAGTTGCTTTCTTGCAGTGATTATGCACTGCTACGTTAAATACATAAGAATCCTACATTTCACGTTTTATTAACTTATTATATATTGCTTATTATATATTACTTATATATATTATATAATTAATTATGTGCTACATTATCTGATATTCAATCCTCCCCCCTCCCTCTCTCTCGAGAGAGATAAAAGAATTAAATCATACGTGTTCGTCCTAAATACAAATAAATTACAAATGTATACAGGGTGTCCCATTTTAAAAGAACCAGGTAAAAATCTCGAAAAATATGAAAGATATCATGAAACGTTTTAAACAAAAGTTGTATGGTTTCAACGGGGACATAAAACAAAACTATATCATTTTATTTACAGATGGCGCCACTTCGAGATATTCACTCATCATTATTTTTCTTCGATAGAAACCCCAATTTTTTATTATGTCATCTTTTTCTACCAATTAATATGAACGTAAATATTTTTTTATTTGCCTAATATTTTTTGAGATTTTTAAGGAAAACTTGATAACTTTTCAATATTTAACTTACGATATCTCGCTAACTATTTGTCGGAAGAAAAAGTGGTACTAGATTCTTTTTATTCTATTTGGTCTCAAGAATATATTGTCACAATAGCGTCCTGACTTTTGTTAATTTGATGATTTTGAAATTCCCAAAGTTAAAAGTTAGGGCACTGTTTGGACAACATATTCTTGAGACCAAACAGAGTAAAAAAGTCTAGTACTGTTTTTTCTTTCGACAAATAGTTAGCGAGATATCGTAAGTTAAATGTTGAAAAAGTTACCAAGTTTTCCTTAAATATCTCGAAAGATATTAGGTGAATAAAAAAGTGTTTCAGACAAAAGTTGTTCAAATTAATTGGTAGAAAAGGATGCTATAATAATGATATAATAAAATATGGGATTTCCACTTAAGGAAAGTAATGATCAGTGAATATCTCGAAAATTGCGCCATCTATAAACAGAATGATGTAGTTTTTTTATGTCCCTTTTAAAACGATGCAACTTTTATCTGAAACGTTTCTTAATATCTTTCATATTTTTCGGAATTTTTGTCTGGCTCATTTAAAATGGGATATCCTGTATAATGTAACTTTACTGTTAATTAATTAATGCCTTACGGAAAATGTGTGCAATGACTTTATAACAAAGACAGAGTCGTTTTCAGCGCGTACGCGTGCTCCTCAAACGCAGCTATAAACTAACTATTAAAATAACTCTTAGTTATTAGTTACCAAAAATTATAGCTGAGTTAGGTTACAGTTACAGATAGAAAGAAAAGAAGGGAGTTAGATTACAGTTATCGAGAAGAAAAAAGGAAAGTATAACTGTACCTTCGTTAAAGTTGCAAGTAACAAGTTACTTCCCAACTTTACGTATAAAAGAACAGATGTGTCGCCGAAAGGTCACAACTGGATGTACCGAGCGATCATTTTTTGTCATTTAAAATTCTTATGTTGAAATTCTATTTTTCACCGGAAACACAGCATTTCTTTAATCTTCCGACTATTCATTATTTGAAAATGACTATTTTCAGGGAGTAAAAGACATCAGTCTTAAACATTTAATATATCGATATTAAAGAAACCGCGGTTTCTTTTTTGTAGTAATCAACGAAATAAAATATAAAAAATTACATGTACAAGTTTTTAAGATAGGGAAGCTTAAGGTTTTTGTAAAAAAAAAAACAAAATGCTACCATTTTTTGAACTTTTAACTAACCCTCTTTTTCCTTATTGCACTTCGACAATTGTCACACATATGAGAACGCGTGAAACAAGACGCGTAAAAGTCGAGATTTGCTCCGACGAGATCGTCTTACTTCGGAAAAGGAATTTTTCCTCTCGCACACGACAACATAGAGATCTCGCTTTCAACATGGCCGCGCGCGTATCTTCAAAAAGAAAAAAAGAAAAAGCATAAAATAATACCAACGGCGCTTATCTGATTACGCAATTGGAGCTGAAACTCGTATTTGAGGACGATTTATAAGCGGAATCGTTGCATAAGGCTTCAATCCGGTTAACCGCGGAGGTGTCTGGCGACTGTCACAATTTTGTCTGCGCGCGGCGCCCCAATTCCGCCGAGACGGTTCAAGCTGGAGAGTCTCGAGCGTAATATAGAATGATCGTTAACGTCGATAGTGTATCGCATTGCCGTATTGCTTTTCGATTTGGCGAAAGATCGCTGTTCGATGAACCTTGCGACTTGGGTATTGGACACCTCGGGGTGCTCGGGACGAGCAACTCGTACGGACGCGGGCTTCTACTGCAGGAGTTAGAGTTACGAGTGCATTGCCGTCGCGTTAAATTCTTACGTCCCGTGAAAGGACAAGGAAGCCGCTATTTATATGTAATTTCATCTCGTTAGTCAATGAGCATTATTGCGTTGCGCAACTTCGGAGTCGCATTACGTCTCTCTCCCGGAGCTGAGACGAAAGACCCTCCGCGGCATGTCGATGCACGATGTGCATCGTATGCACCAATAAACGCGTGAAATATTGATCCAGATGTATGCAGGAAACGAGCGCGTTCTCAACTAGATAATCTAATTTCTTTTCCACCATACAATATCGTAAGAAATTGTAAGAGAATACAATTGAAAATAATTGCAGCCCAACGACACTTGCGTGATTGTTTCTACTTCTTGGATGCTTGAAAAAAGGGTTCAGGACTCTAAGATAGTACCCACGAAATAGAAGGAAAAAACCCTGATAGGCATAGGTCGAAAAATTAATATTGTCGGAGTTATAAGAACAATTATTTTTAATTAAAGCAAGTGACTTACTCGCTTCTGATGCGCAGCCGTAAATGAAACGCATTGCCGCCATTTTTTGATTAGAGCAATACGATATCATTTTTATCGTATTATGAAAACTTTGTCATAGTTCTATGTGTGTATAAATTGGAAGGAAATAGGTGTTTGATTACATCCTAAGGAAGAAAGGACTTTTTTAGGGATTCTTTAAAGCACTCTACACCGACAAATGACATAGACATTAGAAAATACAAATGCATCAGAAACGAGTGTGTCACTGTTTTAATTAAAATAAATAATTATTCATAACTCCGAAAATATTAATTTTTCGATATTTATTGGGACTTTTTTCCTCCATTTTGCAAGAACTATCTGCTCTTAAATTCCTTTCTTCTTAACACCCTATATATCGTTGACTACATCGTATACATATATCGGGTGTGTGTGTGTGTGTGTGTGTGCACGCGTGCGCGTGTGTGTGCTTAAGAGAATAATTTCTTAACTAAGTAACTTCGTCCAAAATATCAATCACAGAATTTTCCAGAAAACTTTTTTTGAGGAAATTGTTTTTCGAAGCTGAGATATCCCGACGAAAAATTTTCAAATAAATTTTCCTCATACATTTTACGAATTCGGGACGATTCTAGCTTCTCGCAATTCTCGAAAGCAGGAAACGAGCGCGTTCTCAACTATGTATGATCTCTTTCCTTCGAGAATGCAACTGAGAACAATTGCAGCCCAACGCACCTGTGTTATTGTTTCTATATCGTTGACTACATCGTATACATATATCGGGTGTGTTTAAGAGTACAATTTCTGGTAATTTCGTGCAAAATACGTGCAATCATAGAATTTCTCGAAGGACTTTTTCTGAGAAAATTGTCAGAAATTGTCTTTCGAAGCTGAGATACCCCGGCAAATATTTTTCAAAGAAATTTTCTTTATCCGTTTTACAAATTCGAGATAATTCTAGCTTCTCACAAATCCCGAAAGCAGGAAACGAGCGCGTTCTCAATTATGTAGAATCCCTTTCCTTCCAGAATGCAATTGAGAACAATTGCACTCCAAAGCACTTGCATTATTGTTTCTATATCGTTGACATTGTGTACATATATCGGGTGCGTTCAAGAGAACAATTTCTAGTAATTTCGTGCAAAATACCACTCATAGAATTTCACAAAGAACGTTTTCTGAAAAAATGGTCTTTTGAAACTAGGATATCCTGACGAAAATTTCTTATTAGGTCAATCGGAAAATTCCGTCCGTTTTTTTGCAAAACGTATGGCTTTATTTAAGGAACAAAATGAAAAAGTACATCAATCAAAGTATTGTCCACCATTAGCGATGACTTTCTTCATCTTTCGATCAGCAAGCGAATTTCGCGGCGAAGGAATGACTCATCTTTGGAGGCTATCCAGTCAGAGACCCATTTTTCGACGTCTTCATAAGAATTGAAGTATTCGTCAGCAAGTGCGTGTGCCACGACCGAAACAAGTGGTAGTCGGAAGGGGCACGATAAACATCTGATAAATAAGCCGCATGGGGTAACATTTTCCAGCGAAGTGCTTTTAACATTTTCTCGACAGATTTTGTGACGTGAGGCCGAGCGTTGTCATGAAGCAAAATCACTTTATGCTGTTTCGTTTCATATTCTAATCGTTTTTCGTGCTCGGCTCAAACGGATCATTTGTTCTCTGTAGAGATCCCCTGTGACTGTTTGGCCACTCTTCAACAGCTCATGATACAGCACACTCTTCTGATCCCACCAAATACAGAGCATTGCCTTCTTTCCGTGGATATTTCGCTTTGGCGTCGATGTTGAGGATTGGCCGGGATCACAAATAG